GAATTCTGGGAGTTGAAGTCCACAAGTCTTAAACTTGCCAAGTTTGGGGACTCCTGGTCTAGCAGTTAAGGCATCAGGCTCAAAACCTGGAAGCTGTTGAGTTCTAGTCCTGCCTTAGGTATCAAAACTGGCTGGGTGACTTTGTGCCAATTACTAAGAGATGATGAGTTCTAGTCCTCTCTTGGGCATGAAAGGAGACTGGGTGACTTTGGGTCAGGAGATGATGAGTTCTAGTCTCGCCTCAGATATGAAAGATGGCTGGGTGATTTTAAGTCAGTCACTCTCTTTCTCTCTCTCATAGCCCAGCCTACCTCAAAGGGTTGTCGTTGTGAAGGAAATAAGAGGAAAAAGGTGTATTAGATAGGTTTGCTACCTTTAGTTATTTTTAAAAATAATAAAGGTGGGTTAATAATTCTACAACAATATTTTTTTAAAAAAAATAATTATCCATTTCATAATCCATCACAAATGGAGTCATGGTATAAACCCATGATGGCGAACCTATGGCACATTTGCCACAGGTGGCATGCAGAACCATTTGTGCCAGCACGCGAGCTGCAGGCAAACCTACTTCACTGTGCATGCGCATGCCTCACGGCTGATTTTCGGCTGGTTTGAGGCCTTTTTCGGCCTTCCAGAGGCTTGAAAAAAGTCTCTGCAGGATGAATAGGCCTGTTTCACCACTTCCTGTTAATACCGGAAGTGACAAAATGGGCCTATTCGACCTGCAGAGGCTTTTTTCAAGCCTCTGGGAGGCCGAAAAAGGCCTCAAACCAGCCGAAAATCAGCTGTGAGGTGCAGTGCAGGTAACGGGGGTGGGGAAGATTGCGCCTGCATGCGCAGGGGCATGGGGGGTGCGCGTTACCTTCTGGGTGCTGGCACGCGAGCGCATGAGCACCAGTGCACACACAACTTTTGGTACAGGAGCCCAAAAAGGTTAGCCACCACGGGGTATAATGAATTCACGAAGGTTCTAAAACACACTTGAGTAGAAGCCACAAGAGACAGACAAGCAGTGGCTCAGGGGTGTCACAAAGAGGCCTAGCCGATTTTTGGCACCTAATTGGGAAAGCAGGTTAGTGGGCTGAGGAGGGAATGGAGATTTTGCAGTAACCTTCTCGCAGGAATGGCGGGGAAATGGGGATTTTACAGTATCCTTCCCCTGCTACACCCACCAAGCCACGCCCACAGAACTGGTTGTCAAAAAATTTGAATCCCACCACTGCTTTGACTGTTTGGTGCCAAGGAGGGTCATGGATGTTCAGAAGGCAGGGACCTGGCTAGAAAGAGCACCCGGCAGAATGCAGGAGGAGGAAGGGGGGGAAGCTGAATCCCCTTCCTCAAGGACAGATTTGGAGGGTCGGGGAGTCCCTTGAAACCTCTTACCTGGTGTTGCGGATGGTCATGTGGGGCAGAGCCAGGGGTGCTGATGGACGTAGGCGCAGAGTCTCCCAGAGGGTGGCTCGGAGGTAAGGCAGCTGCTCCTGATCCCTGTAGGTCGGATCACGGTGGGATCCAATGACAGTGGTTAACTCTTGGTGGATCTGCTTCTGAATCTGGAGCGGCAGAGAAAAAATGGGGGGAAAAACATGTTGGGAAGAAAGAAGACAGTATAGAGCGCCCTCACTAAATGACCATTTATTCAGTGACGTAATTTATGACAGTGCTAGAGTTGTAATCTTTGCAAAAAAAACCCAAATCCTGGTCACAAGGTCAAAGGTCAGGTGGTTGGCAGCTCACCCACATTTACAACCACAGTGTGTGCTTCTGCTTCCCCCTAACTGCCTTATCTCCTCACCCAAATCTGCTTTTGTGGATACCTGCCCTCCCTCACCCGCCTTCCTTGCCGTTCTGTGCTCGTCACCCCACCTGACCTTCACCATCTGGTGGCTCAATAGTTAAAAGTTCAGTATTGCAGGCTAACTTTGCCTTCAGCCTGGCGTTCGATTCTGATGGGCCGAAGGTTGACTCAGCCTGCCATCTTTCCGAGGTCGGTCAAATGAGGATCCAAATTGTTGAGGGAAAATATGTTGACGTTGTAAACCACCTAGAGAATTCTGTAAATCACGATAGGGTTTATATAAGTGATTCTCAGGGGTGGGATTCTCCTGGTTCGGTTCTCTCCAATGAGCCTGTGGGCCCGCTGTTTTGTGTGCTTTGTGTCTTTTTGTTAGAGCACAGCTGATTCGCACAGCAAAGCAGTTTGCCGCACCTCAGCTGTTTTCTTCTTTTTTTTTTAATATAAATTTTATTTGGGTTTTCACAAAGAAAAAAAAACATAATACAAATAAAATATCTTTTTTTGAGAGGAGCATGATCACGGGTTGTCACTTCTTCATACAGACACAAACTCCATTTCATGTTCATCTTTGTGTTCTATTCCATGTCTTATTACTATTAAACATTTTCTACATAGTTTTTCCCCTCCTTTGATTTTCTCAACTTTATTTTTAATTATCTCATATCTCAATTCAAATCATTACATTTGTACTTTTGTCTGTCCTGTTTCAATTTCATATTATCTTTTCTCATTAAGCAAAATTTCCCCTGTAGTTACTAATTGGAATATGCCACCTTTATATCTTTTTATTTTGTCCATTCAATTCTTATTTAAACTTCAATTTATACCTTTAAGATTATAACATTCAATATAATACATAACTTCCAATCAAATTCTGCTTGGTACATTCTTAAAATACACACTATATCCTTAAAAAATTATATATATATGTAAATAAAACACTCATTCCAGTCCAATTCAATTCTATCGTTAATATTCATTAAAATCTTAACAGCTTTTTCTTTTCAATTGAATATCATACTTCCTTGTGAGCACATAAGCTTTCCACAATTAATTCTTTTTTTTCATATTTCTCTTCGCTTATATTTTTATAAATCATTAATAATTAAAATGTTCCCATCCTTTCCTAATTCCATTCTCTCATTCACTTTCTTTCATTTATTTATTAACAAACATTCCACTATATTACAATAAATATTTTATCTATCATTTTAGTCAACATATTTTCTAAAATTATTTCTATTTCTAATATAACAATACTATCTTATGCACCTTTGCAGAATCCCTTTTTCAATTAATTTTTCACCCATTATCTCTGAACAGGCTTGTACTTTCAATCCTTATACCTTTTCCCTGTTTCTCTATATCTTGTTTCTGTCCTTTATAACTTCTTTTCCTTTCCTTCTTCTTCCTCTTCTCCCTCCCCTTTTTACCCCCTTGTCTCTCTACTTCTAATTCTCTCTTCTGTAATCCCCTCTTCTGTTGCTTTCTAACATTGTAATTATTTTTCAAACTATTCTTTTTTTGTTGTTGTTTTTACAAATCTTAAATTTTTCACTCTTTCCCCCCTTTCCTTTTTCCCCCCCACATAAAATTACTTGATCATTAAAGATGGCTTCTTTGTCCAGATCTTCTTGTTCTACAATCGTTTCTTGTTGTTTCTCATAGTTCCAAATTTCCATTTCTAGGAATTGAAATACGAAGCCAAAAGAACTTCTCCCTTCTTGTGCATCTTCTTTCTGTTTTTTAAGTTCCATTTTCAGTTCTTCTAGAAGTGATGCCATTTTAAACACTTTTAAACAACCACCCAATTTAGTCATTTAAATGCAATAGCGAAAAATCCAAAAATCACCAAGTAATCCAAATAATCCAAAGCTGTTCCTTCTTGCTTCTTTTTTCACTTTCTCTTCCTGGGGTTCTATTATTTTATTACAAAGTTTCAGTTGGAATGTATTTTTTAGGAATCTTGTTAAAGTTTCACTGTAAATTCCTTTTAGTTCCAGGCAGTCTGCTCCATTTTTCCAGATCCTGCCCTTTTATTCTTTTCTCTCCTTTCCTGCTTTTAAAAGTTTTTAAATATCCAAAAATGTTTATTGTCCCTTTGACATTTTATTTTCAGCTTAAATGCCTATTAATGTCAGAGTGGATTTTTGACAATTTCTTACTTAAGTCTCTTAGCTGTCAGTATAAGGGAGGAGAAAAAAACCCAAATCCTTTCCCTTTCCTCTCTCCTTCACTGCTTCAAAATCTTCTCTGGGAACAATGTTATTTTTATAGTTTAAATTCCAGGGTACCTTATGTTGTTGCTTTTTCAATTTCACCCGGTCAACCAAAACTTTCTCTTCTTATCTTCTTCCTGCACTTTCTTTTCCAGTCGAGTTCTTCTTTGAGGTGGCCATTTCTGACCACTGCTGCAACCACCTTCGGGAAAGGGAGTAATGGCCAACTGGGGAGGAGATATGCGGCTCTCCTCGACCCTGCTAGTAGTCTCCCCTCTCTTCACCACTTCTACGGAGTGGCTTAGCCCCAAAACCCGCCGGCTCGGGGCACTCCCGCGATTAGCACAGATCGAAACCGCGCATGTCACCGAAGGAGCTCAAACCGGAAGTCGCCTCAGCTGTTTTCTTCAGCTGCAGTTGAAGGTAAGTATTAGCTTTTTTGAGCACATGAGCTCACCCAACTGGTTGTTAAACCGGTTGAATCACACCCCTGGTTATTCTAAGTGAATTTGCTATTGCTGTCTTCTTCCTCCCACTGCTGACAAAGCCCATCTGACCTTTTGCAAGGCAGCCATGGGTCATGCGAGGCCTTTTCTCTGAAGCAACCCCAAGGCCTTCCCGAGACCGCAGCTGTCTCAAAATAGGCCCCTCCAGGCACAACTTATCAGCAGTGGGAAGAAGATAGCAAAGACTCACTGAGAACAAACAGATGGGGCCTTGGTGGAGCAGGAGTTGAAACGCCCTCCCACCCCCCAGCAGCAGTGGCACCAAGGCCAAAACAGAAGCAGGCTGAGGCTGCTGACTGGTAGTTCTTGACTTAAGGAGCACAACTGAGGCCCAAATGTATTTTGCTAAGCAAGAAGTTGTAATAAAGCTTTGGAGAGGTTGACTTTTGCAGAAAGCCTTCCATTGGTGAAGAGTGATATACAGGTTTGCCTCCACCCAACTGAGCCAAAAATTTATATTCTTAAGTGAGACAGTTGTTAGGGGAATTTTGCCCCATTTTGCGACCTTCCTTGCCATAATTGTTAAGTGAATCACTGCAGTTGTTAAGGCGGAACATAGTTTGTAAGGGGATGTTTGGTACGAATGGATAAGAATAAGACGCAAAGGCATCAAAGGATCTATGTAATACTCTAAAACTACAAAACAATAAGGTTTTCAGGTAAATAAATGTAAATAAAAATGTATGTATGTATAAAATGCCTAGAATGATGACGAATCAAATACAGAGATGTATCACACATCAATAGGAGGTATTTACAATGTAAACACTGCTACAGTAACGTTGTACAGTGCAGAAATTTGTTTTTAAATGTTAAAACATTGAAGAAATAAATTTATTTATTTGTTTTAAAAAAACATAGGTTGTAAGTGAATCTGGCTTCCCCCTTGACTTTTCTTGTGAGAAGGTCACAAAAGGAGACCTCCTGATTCCGGGACACTGCAACCCTCATAAATACATTCCAGTTGTCAAGCACCTGAATTTCGATCACATGATCATGGGGCTGCTGCAACAGTCATAAGGGTGAAAAATTGTCATCAATCCCTTTTTTTCCCACTGCTGTTGTAACTTCGATTGAATGGTTGTAAGTCAAGGACTATCTGGAATGGGACATGAGAAAACCTTGAGAGACGGGACAAACAAATACTGCCTAGGACAGGGGTGTCAAACTCGATTTCATTGAGGGCCGCGTCATGGCTGTGCTTGGCCTTGGGGGAGCAGGGTGTATGTGGCCAGGGGATGTGGCCATCTTGACATCCCTCATGTCAGGGGCGCCTTTGGCGGCCCGAGTGTTCTACCAATAAAAACCATGCTCCCGAGCTCCATTTTCGGCTGGGACGGCCTCCTGCAACCCTCTGCCAATGTAAATGGAGCTCAAGCTCTGTTTTTGCTAACAGGTCACCATGAGCTAGTCCTCCACTGTTTGTGAGACAGATCTAAGAACCCCATGGACCAGAGTCGGGCCATGGGCCTTGAATTTGACACCCCTGGCCTAAGGATCGGTCTGATAGAAGAGAGCATAGTCTGCATAACTGGTACGAAAGTGGCTCAGAAGGGTTCATCTGTAACTTCTCAGGCTATAAAAGAAATGGTGGGAGATTTGTACTTTCAGACTTGCAAGATTCTGTTAGTGTATCCTCAAAATAAAGTAGAAATAGCTCATCTGGTCATGTTTCCTTTCAGACTTGCAAGATTCTGTTAGTGTATCCTCAAAATAAAGTAGAAATAGCTCATCTGGTCATGTTTCCTGACTGGTCTACCTGAGAAACACCGACACTAGTGGTGGTATTTGACCGGTTCGGTCCAGTTCTGGCAAGCCGGTAGGAGCGATGAGCAGCAGAGACCGAACCAATTCTCTCCGCCGCTCTGCTGTTGGGCCCACCTGCCCGCCCAGGCTCCCATACTCAACTTTTATCCAGTGAATATGAAGTGTAGCTGCTTTGCGCGGCACAGAAGAGTGCCACGTGGCAGCTGTTGAAGCGACCGGGATCATGCCGGCTTGCAGGAGGCGAGTTAAAATGCCTCTGCACCTCCACAAACGCCTCCGCACCTTCGCAAAGTGCACATTTGACACGCGTGTGCACGTAAAGCGCGCCCACCAAGCCACGCCCATCAAACTGGTGGCCACAATATTTGAATCCCACCACTGAGTGATACCCAGTGTTGCCACCACTACCACCGAGGAGTGTCACTGTGCAGGCCAGCCAAAAGAGCAGGCATGGGAGTAAAAGGCGGGTGGGGGAGTTGAAGGGAAGGCAGTCCTTTCCCTTGGAAGAAGTGAGGCCGGGGCTGGGAGGGACCAAGCCAGGAAAAGTGTAGATTTGGGTGGGTCCTTGCCTAATGATTGATTAACGGTCACAATCAAGACTGTCAAAAACGACCATTGCTAAACAGTGTGGCCAATGAGATAATAATCACATTGTTTGGTGACATTTTTACTGATCCCAATTGTGGTGTTAAATGAGAACTTCCTGTACATTCAATGAAGTTTGACTTTCTGATAGAGGAAATGATGCTCCCCACTTTTCTTTCTAGGACTCCAACTTCCGTTACCCCACCATCATGGCAGGTGGTGAGGAACAATGTAGAGAGATGTAGCCCAACAACTGGAAGGCCACAGCTTCCCCAGCCAAGGCCGATAACTTTGAATCACTTCCTTCTGCGTGGAGAAATCAAGAGAGATAAGAAGCAGAAGGAGATCTTTGACTGAAAGCTAAACTGTGCCCTCCCGAAAGAGGGATTTAGAGCAGTGGTCGCCAACTGGTGGTCACCAACTGAGAAAATTTTGGTGATCCACAGAGAAAGGTCCCCCACAAAGCACTCCCCCACAAAGCAATTAATCCAGGCTGCGCGTAGGAACACAAGGCTGCGCCACCCACATGGCCCGCGCACCCGCTGTCCCCACCCTTCGGCCGAGCACAAACATTAGCCTTGAGTAGAGCCACGCAAGCTGGAACTGGAAGGTAAGACCAATGGCGAGGGAGGGAAATCCTCTCCGGGGTGGCTTGCTGACATTGGCGGGAAAGTCGGTCCCATATTCCAGAGCTGCAGGAGTCACAGGACTGGCCCTTTGGTCATCCTGGAGGAGCTCTTCAAGTCCATGGCAGGCCAGTATACCCGGGTGGAGGAGCAGCTACTCCAGGATGACCAAAGGGCCAGTCCTGGGATTACTGCAGCTCTATAATATGGGACCCACTTTCCCACCAATGTCAGCAAGCCACCATCAGAATTCATATTAGTGGTTCCACAGGATTTAACATTATGAGTTTGGTGGCCCCTGAGGTCCCGAAGGTTTTCGACCCCCTGATTTAGAGGACCATGTTTCTCGCCACCAGCAAACCATTCATCCTACCTCAGGGCGATGCACCAGGAAGGCAATAGCCCAAGTGAGCAGGGTTGCTGTGGTCTCCGTGCCTCCAATAAGCAGGTCAACAATGGCCATGTGGACGTGATCCAACAAGAGGCCAGTCTCCCCCCATTTTTCAGTACCATGGTCACGCAGAAGCTGCAGCATGTCATCCAGCATGTTCTGGATCTCGGAAGGGCTACATGACTCCTAAGAAAGAGAGGAGGGTGTGTAATCAATCAATCAATCAATCTGTTGTGGCCTGCCAGCTACCAGCGGAGCTGAGGGCAGACTCGGACAGTGAGGAAGTTGGGGAGGAATTTGGGCCAGTGATGGAATCTGGGGAAGGCTCCGATGGATGCTCTGCATCAGACACAGAGATAGAGCCAGGGCCGTCCAACGTTTCCCAGCCACCGGAGAGGCAGCTGCTTTTAGAGGTTGATATGAGTGAGGAGGAAGAACAGCTGGGGCCTGTTCCACATGCACATATGCGCAAAGCAGTTAGAAGAGGTGAGCAACAGAGGACAAGGAGTCAACTCGGGAAGCAAAGCACACGTGGATGCTGAACTGGCTGGGAAATAAATATATAAGGAAAAGGGAGTGGTCGTCGTAGGAGACAACAGTTTGTATTTCTGAAGATTTTGCTCATTGCGTTTTGGGTCACGGAGACTGCTTGCCAGAACTTAATTTTCAGCCTTTCGGCTAGGCGCTCACGGCTCACGGCCTTGCAATTATCGCAAGGAACTGATAAGATGTGTACTGCAGTTAACTCCTTGAAGGACTGTTGCCTGGACTTTTTGGTGGGTGAATCCAATTAATTCACAAGAGGTGAATAAAAAGGGTTTTTTTCATGACAGGGGGCTCTGTTTCTTGTTTCTGCTAAGACTGGGTCAGAACATAATCAATCAAGACAAACCGGTTTCATCCATCTATTCATCCCATCAGTGAACCATCAACTACTCGGGGCCCTGTCCCAATAATTCCTTGTCTCTGGCCCTTTTGATAGGAATTGCTCTCCAGTAACTTTTGACGAGATAGGGCTTCCCCCATCTCTGTGATAAACACTGGACCATTTTAGCATGGTGGTAAAACTGCAAGATCTTCTCATCATTCCTGCTCTTAAATTAGTAGATTCTTCGTCTCATGTCATCCTCTTGTCCGCGAGCCTCCGTGAAAAAAAAAAAAAGGTTAACTTTATACGGGTAGTCTTACAACTTACAGCCACCAAAAGGGACCAGAAGATTGGTCATTACACGGTGGGGTCGTTCAGTGACCCCGCGCAATTTTGCAACCTTTTCTGCCGCAGTTGTTAAATGAGACATTATGTGACTGCAACTTGCGACTTCCTGCCGGTTTCCCCACTGATTTTTCTTTCCATCTGGGAACGTCAGCAACGGTGATCCCGTGACTGCAGAATGCTGCAAGTATCGAAAATATGCGGCAGTTGCCAAGCATCTGAATTGTGATCGTGTGACTGTGGGGGACCCTGTCATGGTCGTAAGTATGAGGATGGGGGGGGGTAAGTCCCTTTTTAAAATGCCATCGCAACTCTGAACAGTTGCTAAACGAATTGTTGCATGTCAGAGAATTACCTGTATAGCCTTAACGGAGCAGCCATTCTCCACATTCTCACCTGGTGTTTCTTCATCTGGCTTTGGATCAAGGCGTCCCGGGTTTTGACACAGGAGAGCAGATGCCGCAAAGTGGGGTTGGGAAACACCTAGGGCACAGCAGACGGTGTGAATGAAGTTGGTTTCAGCACAAACACTCAGGGCTCCCCACGTTTCTTCCTTGACCATTCCCCTTTCACATTTTAGGAACGTTGTGTCGCTGTCGACACCCAAAGTAGTAAAAGAGGGAGGGGAGAAGAGGGGAGAGGGAAGGAGGAGGAAGTAGAAGAGGAGAGGAAGAGGAGGAGAAGGAGGAGGAAGAGGAGGAGGAGGAAGAGGTTATTTGGGGAAACTGCCTTGGGTGGGTGGCTACAGCCAGCAAAACATTGAATTCCCTTTTTCCTTGCCCCAAGGCTTCAGTCCAAAATGGGGCTTTGCTCTTCCCTCCTGTCTTTTATGAAGAAATAAAAACAACAT